TGTTGGTTCTGGATGTTGGTTCTGGATGTTGGTTCTAGGTGTTGGTTCTGGATGTTGGTTCTAGGTGTTGGTTTGTGTGAGTAGAGCTACAAACTGCTTCATGTCTTTAGTTAACAACAGAGCCTGATGTTTTCATGCAGATATGAAGCGAACTCAGAACAGAGAAGCCGATGGTCGTTCTACACATAAATTAGTCGGATGTTCGTCCATCAACCACGGTTCTGTCTGAGTCACTGAGTTTTACTTCTGGAGATGCTGAACCTTTAAAATGGCTTCACAGGGTTATTTTCAGGGTGGAAACGCTAAAATCTCAGGTCTGAAAACATAAAGTTCTCAGTTTTGGGACCCAAATAACAATCAGTGCACTGAACAGACTGAGACGATGGAGGAACGTTTTCACCAATCCGCTGTGTGCAGCAGTGTTACCACGTGTTTGACCGTCTGTCCTGCAGGAGGCGCTGTCTGCTCTGCAGCTGTCGGAGCAGGAGGTGAACCACATCGTCAGCTCTCAACTCCTCCCTCTGATTGGACGACGGCAGAGTCAGGATGAAGAGCGATTGGCTGCTTTGGATGTCAGTCACACCCACCTTCCCGTTAGTGCAGACTGAAGCTCAACGTGTTCATGTGAATGTCCTCTCACCTGTCTGCAGGTGTGCTGCGACTCGGCCGCCCGTCACGCTCTCTGCCTCAGCAGGTGTGCCTTTGCTGTGATGCGAGCAGCGGCGTTGCTATGGGAGACGCACAGCCGCAGGTTAGCGAGGAGAGAAGAGGAACTGCAGCGACACCTGGACGAGCTGAGACACTCGCAGCAGCAGCACATACAGGTGAGTCCCGGTGTCTCAGCTAACCTGAGGGACCTGCAGCTGAGAGGGCGGGCTTGTCCCATGATGCTTTGCTGCTGTGCTGTCAGGAGCAGAAGGTGCTTGTGGACGAGATGTTGGGGTGTCTGAGGCAGGAAAGCAGCGAAGACGCTCTGAAGACATCTCTGGACCAAACCGTCCTCCACCTGCAGGTCGTCACCGACAGGTAACCAACGTTAGCCAGAGGAAGTTCAGCAGCTTGTGCTGGATCAGTAGTAGAGCCGCAACAATTCATTGATTAGTTGATGAGTTTCAACGAGGAAATTAATCTGCAACTATTTTGACAATCAATTCAGTTCAATTTTATTTGTGTTGCACAGTTTCCAACATATGGCATCACGTAGCGCTTAACATGGTACGGACCTGATCCAAGTCAATCCGCAGTGACACGGTGATACCGTAAAAACACTGAACCGGCTCATAGCCCGGTCCAAAGG